CAGCAGTATATAATGGGCGGCGTGGCCAGCGTGGTGGGCTCGGATGGAAGGCGCCTGAGGTGTGGTTCTGGATTGTAATTGATTAGTGAAGCCTATTTTGTTGTACCAGTCTTCTTCATACTATGGCTCGGGTATTTTACATTGGTGGCTGCGGATGTGTTCGAATTACACAAATCGAACCCCAGCCCTTTCCCTACAACGGCTGGATTATATGTGTATTTGCTAGCACGTTCGTAGGAATCCAAAATGTTTGAGCTCATCATGAAATTTAGTCTCAGTTTTATCCTACTCATCTTTCATTTAAATTAGCATTCGAAAATATGATGTTTTGCAGTGTGATGGATGCTACGACGCGCTTTACAGCGGTGTGTAGGACATATTTGATAAATGTAGATATTATGTAATACAAATTCCTGTAATTCTTCAGCTAAACTGACCAGGGTTAGGACACAGCCTGCCCTTCATAGTCCTTTAGAATATTTACTGCCTTGTGGATATAGGAAAAAACCTGACTATCACAAAGTACCTCCTTATCAAATGACTTCTGAGAAGGGGCTTGGTATGCGGCATAAAATCGCTAACGGTTTTGTTCCCTTTCTTCAGGTATAGGTGATATATACCCTACTCTATCACTCAATTACTGATCTCTGCTACGTGTTTTGACTAACCACTTGTAACACTGTTATTTGCTAGCAGGGCATATTGATTTTAGTTATTTCATACATTCTCACCTTAAGGCTCCAGAGACATCAGCTTAGTTACATTAGTTTAGTTGAGGTTGAAGTCGTAAGGTAGCTCGAAACGCACTTAAGTTGGTGACAGGTAGCATTATCAATGACGATTTCCTCTTGTTCCATGGTGCAATTTTACCTGTATATCAGTTTGGCACATCATAGTTTCGGTCAGCATCTTTACGAAATCTCTTAGGACAGCACAGCAGTCAAGTTCCTGAGAATCCGAAAAAAAGCCTACTTGTCAAAGATATTAGTGGTCGGCCGTGAGTGGAGACATTCAAGAAACATGCCCTAAGTCTCACCTTCATAATGAAGTGAATTTATGAGTACATGCATCAGTGATTTCTTGAAACCCGGTGACCGCCAACGGGCACCAAAATTTTCTTGCCCTAGTCAAACTCAAACCGCCTCTAAAAACCAATGCTGCTGATGTTTCTGATATTTAAATGTAATTTCAAAAACATTTAAGATTCGGGCCCGATGAGACATGAAGCCGATGGCGGCCTTGTTTGTCCTGGCAAGTTCGGCATCACTGAAATGGCAGAAATTTCCACTTACTTTAGCAAGGGCTTATATCTTACTAGGAACGGAGGCTGCCTGTAAAACAGGCCCACTGTGATAAATTTGCCATGTTATCGTTGATTTATCCATTTATTAAAAAGCTGCAGTTTGCTCAATTATAATAAGCCCTATTCTGCCTGTTCTTTGTTCTGGCACATGCTCACGCCATTCCACCTTCCAATAGAAGCGTCTACGGATCTAATGGCAATAATAACCCTTCCTACCGCTATCCTCTCCCTATTCTCGCCCTAAACTACTCTGTAAGCTCTAGCCCCCATGCCCTTGTTTGTGGTAGCGTGGAATACATCTGGTCCCTTCTAGTCTTTTGTCACGCGCCTAGTATTCAACTGAGATGGTGTGGCAATTCCCGAGAAACAGATTAATAGTGACCTCCCCTTTTACCTCCACATATTTGTTGACTACACTCAACGCTTTTTTGCACAAGGGCCCATCCTTTGTTATTCATAGACGATTCTGTGTGTTTATTAGTAGATTCCAAGTATTTTTAAATTGCAATTATTTCAAAAGTTGTCTAACTTATTGGGAATAGTGATCTATTTTCCTCTCCAGCTTTACTGACGAACTCGGCTATTGAACGTTAGCGTTTGCAGTCGGAGATCTCACATTTACGCCTGCTTGAAGTTAAAAAACGCATAGACCTCAAAAGGCTGTACCAATAATGGGCGAACGCTGAGATACTTTGTGAATAGACGCTAGTTAAAATCAAGCATAACTTGGTCTCGATACTGAATGTTGGGATTCAGAAATTCACTGGCAATCCAAAATTATTTTGTTCATTTGTAGAACAAACGATGGCCTAATCCCTCGAAAGAAAGGCGCTTGATACTTAAGAAAAAATTTTAATCTTAGGTGAAGAAGCAGGCCCTACTGTTAAAGAGAAATTTTGCGAAAGGTGCTTAAAGAAAACTTAACAGTAGCCACAGCCTTCTCATATGAATTGCTTGATAATAAGGATGTCTTAGATTTAGTTATTTGGGTATCCGAATGCATGCTGTGAAGCTATTCTTACACAGTTGTGTTATACCTTCCAAGTAAATTACTAGAGAAATCCCGAAACGCTTGTGAGGTGACTGTTTACTCCACTTCCGTTTAAATGGGCTAAGGTAGATGGCAGAGCACAGAGGCAAATAAAAGAACCTCGCTTTGAAATTTTTTTAGGAATCATGGAAGGACATGCTAACATCGGCAGTTGCAGCAAGCAAGATGTCAAGGAAAACTGCATGCGCAGAACATTAGCCATTTTAACGCCCGTGATCCTTTAGTTTTGCATTGTTGCCCCTGTTGTGGGCCTGAGCATGTGGTCTTGAACCTCGCCGGGGCCACGGAATTGACCCTGGCCCGATTAATTTTCCCTGATGCCCGCGATGAAGAAAAAGGCCGGAGAGGACGGACACAAGCGTGTACTTCAGAGGTCAACCACGTTGGTGTCGTTGTGTCGTGTGTGGAGTTTGCGCGTGTGTATTTATACCTCAGATGTGTGCGTCATGCATGCGCTAACATCGAGACCTATGTGTGAGGATACTCCAAGATAAATATTCGTGCTAATGAAGGGGGATTTGAGGATTCGTGCGGCTGGCTACATGCTGCGAAAAAAGGAACCCTGCGTAGGAGGTGGAGCCACCGGATTTAAGGGGTGTGAGTAAACACGACTCACGACAACCCTTTTGCATTAAAAAAAGGTCACAATACAGGTAAATTGTAGGTCTTCATTTTGACTACTCAAAAAATACTGCCGATGTTTCAAGAGCTCTAGCAATGTTGGCTCTGTTTTAGGGCCAGTCATGCTGATTGTCAACCAGTTGTGAAATCTTTGGCTGCATAGAACCGTAATACACTCTGCTACAATTCTTTGATGGCGACTGCAGCATCTAAGCAATAATTGTGATTGAACGTGTGGCTGTGCGCGTCTACTGTTCTATTGGTTAATGTACCTAAAAAACTCCAAATATGTCCCATAATCAAGCCTATTTAACTTCTGTGTCTCCGGAAGCTGACGACTTTGGTTCTGAATATGTAAAGGACTAGTCGAAAACGCAGCGTCTTAAGACATCTGACAAACTTATTACCAATTCAAGCGCACTTATCAATAAAAACATCGTCGATCTCTAGACAAACAGGGAGGACTCCTGCCAACAAGGCTTGAATAACGTAGAGCTTGATTTAATGCCAATAATAATCTTCGAAACAAATCAGCAAATACACAAATACAATCGGAAATTGGTAACTGCAGGTGACAATAATGTTGGTGGTAGTGCAAAGAAGCTAACATCCCACGGATGGCACTAAGTAGGGTTTACCGTGGTCATGAGTGGATATCAAATTTGCCAAATGGTGTTATAATCTTCTTCCGAAGAGGAAATCAACAGACGTTACAAGAATAACAAAGCCATGACAATCAGAGTTCCAAGCAATTTTGTCGTCGTTTGTGAAATACATTTAATGGTGTGTACTGGTGCCAGCAATCATTTACAGATTAAGGCAGGCTGTTGTTACGCCTAGTATTGTCACCAACAACTTTATGGTGATCTATTTTAGACTGTAACACCTCAATAAACCTAAGCAGGAGACAGTAAATCAAAACTAAAGAAATTTTGGCATATTGTTACTTAAAATTAGGGTATATTATTTTTCATTCTGAGTTACACCTCGTTAATATATAAATTCAAAAGCTGTTCTGTTAACAATCAGTAATTTTACTTGTCTGAAATCAGAGCTATTTTAGCAATATCGACGCTGTTACTTTTCTTCCCATTTGGGTTAGCGCCATGTCGTCTCATTAGCTTTTTTTAACCATAAAGAAATTGGCTCTGCGTCGACGTACACACCCACTAGACATACAAACTGAACAAGCAAGGCAGTGAGTATTCACAACATCAATTATTAATGGGTGTGGTGATGCAAACTCCACGTTCAATATCAAAAGTAATAACGCTCGCTCTATATGTGTGCAGAAAACATTTACAGAGCAATCTACTACGTCCACCACGATTTCTCCACTTGACATTGAGTTACCAACAGCTAAAGTACAGTTCCGTGGGACAGCCTATACATCAGCTTCCGTGGAAATTCATTGTGTTCAGTATCTTCGAAATTCATGAGGTTAATTGGAGTACAACGCCGAAATGAAATTAATTTCTTTGCAATATCTGTTTATCGATCAATTGGTGTAGCAAAGCCAATCTTATTGTTGTAGATTGAGAGACAAAACAAAGGGACATGTCTAGTTGTTCGCAGTATTTAGCAGTGACTTACTTGGTGATCGGAGTATTCACGTTTAAAAAAACATGATGCATTGCAGTTCCCCGTGAGGTTATAACAATTTATTTTGACAAATCAATTTCTCTTCATTTCAAGAAGCGAAGAAATTAATTTTGATTTTGCGGACTCTCTTACACTTTAAACTAGAATTATTGCTGCAAGCGAGATGAATTGCCTGAACCCTGGAGTGACCAGAAACAACACCACACAAAGTAGCTTCTGTAAAAGTGATTTTTATGTTTAGGCAAAGACTTTGCACCTTATACATTGAGCTTTGTATGTCAATTTAAAAATACACTTAACGGTATTCCTAAATTTTATTTCAGTGAGGCATGACAGTCTAATACATTTGGGTTGATTGATTTTAGACTGCGAAACGAGATATCAGTTTAACGAGCTCGCGGAACTTTGACATTTATTTTTCTATTTTGCCCTTCTGTAGCAAGACCAACCATGTAGTAATATGTACACAGTTTTCGACACAGACAAAAATCAAAAACATATAAGTATCAAAATCGGCGACAAATTAACATTAATTTAATTGTTAAGTTAAGAGCACACACGTACAAAAAAACATTAGTGACAGTAAATTATTTTTCATATAAATAATGTAAGTAAACTAGGCTCAACGTTATAAATAGAGGCGAAATTCCATTCAGGCCTACATCACATGACATGCTAAGTGCAAAAATGAAATATTGGGTATGTACACAAGATTTCATCATACCTTGACTGAGGAAAAGCTAAATAAAACACTAATATCAATTTATTTTAATTGAAAAGCATTATGGAGCGTGATTATTTATCCAAGACAGCAATGGCGTCGATTTCAATCAATGCATCCTAAAATATCATTCAAGAAAAACAGCACTACCTTAGGGAGGGTCTTAACAGCAAAGCAAACTCTTGCTGGATACGGTTCAGTGAAGTCTAAATTTAAAAACCATGCATTAATGTTAACCTACACTTTAAGTAGACTTCGTTGACTTTTGGGAAGTCGTCGATGTTTGCTAAAAGAACAGTGGTCTTCACGATGTTCATCATGTGACCACCAGCTTCTTGTACGACATTTTAAAGGTTTTTCATTGCCTGCTCCGTTTGTTCTTCAACTGAGTTGCCTGCAAAATCCATCGTATCTGGCTTCAGACCAAGCTGACCAGATGTATAAATTGTCTTATCAACACAAATGGCTTGACTATGCGTTTATCAACGATATTACTTGCACAAACCTATAAGGGCCAATTGCCTTCGGGGCCATCGCACAAAAAATAGCCCTGCGAATAGCCTGCATTTCTGACTTTAGGAGCGCGTTTAAATGTTTTAAATATCCGTAATATTTGAGCTCTACTAAACAAAATAAGGTCAAGGTCAATAATTTTGACAAATAAGACAAAACGCATAATTTAAAAAAAAACATTTTTTAACAGCAATACATGGTAATATTTCTAATAAAAAACTTCACAATTAAAAAGCATTAAAGTAGGTATAAATGGTGCGTTGCATCGTGTGATATTTTCCGGTAGTAATTCGAATTCGGTTTCATTGAGGTAATTTAATTGCATCAAGCTAGTCTAGTTGTGACTTAGATTCTGATAGGAATTTGTGGTGACCATGACGAGGTTGAATTCTGCAAATATATGAAAATCGGCCTAAGGAGTTCTGCAGTCCAAACAAATTCATCGATTCAAAAAAGAGCTACTTAGAGGCTACCAAGCCATCAGTCAAAATGGCTGTCGCCATTTCGCCTGAGCATATTCTGTACTCGTTTACGATGCGCTTACCTATATCTGTTGGATTCATTTACCCCCTTGACCGGTATCAACAAAGGCACATTTCAATTGTTGTAGAATGTCTTACCGACGATCTGACTTTGCTGTTTGATATTATCGATTCTGGTTTTATTGTGGAAGCACACGTTCCTAAGAGATTTGAGCAAACCATGAAGGATGCAACGAATTGTGTTGATGCAGGTCCAGACAACTTGCTCCTCTGTTTCTTTACCCTACTTTTTAAGCGTACACGTAGTGGAAAGCACCGCATACACATGTCACTTGAGCACAACTGCGACTCACAGGCGTGCACGGCCATGTGTGCAGACAAATGCAATGAAATGGCCGGGTTGATCGATGTGTATAATTTTTTTATCTATGTGTGGTTAAGAGGGATGAAATTTGTAAAGACAGAAGCTAATCATTACGAAACATTAATGCTGTTGGTCAGTGTATTATTCGCTTCGTGTCTCCGCTGCGTCTAGTCCACTGAACCTTGTGGGTTTTCTGCGAAGTGTAAGCAAGACTCAGCAAGTGGTGGACACGACGTGGGACCGATACACACAACGGTGCGTCAACGAGTGTATCGCTCCCTAATCGGGCCATGGGCTAGGCAGTTGGCTTTATAACAACCACAGATTATGAAGTGAAGACCCATCTGAAATAGTTAAGCATTTGGTTGCTAACCTATAGGTTGAACATCATCAGTAGCTTTTGTCACTCGGAGTTGTCTTGTACATGCTTCACTAAACTTGGTCGTAGGTAAACACACACTTCTAATTTAGTTTCGACAAGAATTACGCGTCAGCTGCATTTTAGGGCCTAGTGTTGCCTAGTCTTGAAGTTGTGGGGGTTGGCAAACAATGAGACTGCTGACGAAGTCACCGGCACAGGTCTTTACATTCAAACCATAATATTATAGCCTTGATATGGGATACGACTTATGAATTGAAAGTGTTAGCCCGTGAACAGTTTTGCCGACAATCATTCTCAGTCCATTACATTTGACAGATCAGTAAACAGCCAAGGCCAGCACCACTTACAAAATGGCGAAAGCAAAGCTTGCATGTTGTCATCCAAAATGCGCAAATAGTGGTCACTCTGCCTGACGACAAGTTGATTTTGTGTCGAGCGTCTCAACCACCTTCGATGCTGTAAGTGGAGCATTAGAACGCGGCAGAATAGTTGCTCATATCTAGCTACTCCAACTTTTCTTTATCGGGATTACCATGTGTTCCACTGTAAGTGGCAGGGTTTCCGTTAAAGGCTCAGTCAACGTAGCAATATAATGCAGAAATGTAGCAACTTGTTGTCGTTTGTTTAGACAAGTCAGCACTTGAGCAGTTTGTGCCATGACAGCCTGGTGAGTAGGACAGTAATTGGAATCAGAAATTGGGTAGTTTGACAATTGGGTTAAAACCACCCCGACGTTTATTGTAGCGTTTTCTCGTTAACCAGGATCACGCACCCATACTTAGCGTTAGGACTATGCAAAGATTGGAATGCAATAGTCTCTTTTCAAATACTGCACAGCATTTGAGCAAATGTGTCAACAGATAACTTCAGGGGGTACTAGGTCCGTGTGACAATCTGGAAAACGTTGCCTGTTTAAACATTGTAAGTAGCATTGTCATGTCTTGACCATCAGATGTACTGCGTGGGAGCCAGTGAACTCGAGCCGCATGCTTGGGCACGCGATCGTGTTTGCTTACATTTGATGTGAATTAATACAAGGTGGTAAACGTGACTTGAATGTGAGCCTTGCAGAGTAATTAGATCGAAATCCTTGTTGCGTAATAAGAACGTTTTGATCCTTCAACTTATGCACCACTGTCAGTCATGGTAAAGTTTTCTTATGCCACCACTGTTGTGCAATCGAGAGGTTTCATTGCTGGAACTGCATTTTCCTCTGGCATGCTGATCACACCAAAGGTGAGTAAAATTATTGAAATGGCGATGTGCTGAATGTTACTAGTTGGAGTGTTTAGTGCAATTCGAAAGTGTGGATAGTTATGCTGCTCAAATATTTAATGGGTGGGTAAGCTGACATAATCATGACACACGTGCCTTTAAAATGAGAAAACTTAGTTTAGTGTCAGTTGTAGCGAAATGGTCCAATTGGATGCCACGAATGCCGGCAGTGTAGATAGGAGCTGCTGCTGCTGCTGCAGATTTCAAAGCTGCGCCATGAGGCTATTCTAAATGCGGTCTGAAAAAAACGGAGTACAACTCGTCCTAATAGTCGCTTATACGACAGAGAAGACCT